TAGGTTCGAAGATGTGCAATAATAGCGTCAATTGCATATATCTTCCCATTAACTTGGACATTGGGTCCATTTGTCGGTTGGAATGAATACACACTCGAGGTACGACTACGTGAAATCTGAAATGTGTCTGAACATGCGTGGTTGTGTTCAATTCTAGAATGCTCTTGTCAGTTGCTGTGTCAGCTGGGTGGACAAGCGTCGCGTTTATATATCGTTCAACGTTGTTGTGTTCGTGTTTGTCTATATTATTCCACTCGTGATTCTCATCGTCAGTCAGACATTCATTTTTGTGGGTATTCGGGGAACGCAGAAAAAGATACAAAAAGAAATGGTGGCGGAACTAAGTCAAAGACGAATCGAAATGGAACGACGTATTGTGAAAAGTGAGTGAATACAATTCGTACGAAATTTTAATAAACATTTTTAACAAAATTTAGGTATTCTGATCACATTGCTCTGTTTCATTGTAACATGGTCACCGTATGCCGTATGCTGTTTCCTCAGTTTGTCTTCACAGGCATACACGCTCACCGTCGTTCATCCATTGGCAACATTGTTATGCGCCTGTTTTGCCAAGACGAGTGCGGTCTGGCTGCCACTGCGTTACATGACGACGTCAACAAACTGGAATCTTACCATTGTTGATCAACAAGCGGGCGTTACTACAGAACATCTGCGTGATGTCAAAAGACAGAATCAGATAATGCCGCGTCAAGACGGAAAGTAATCTGTCAGATTTTAAATTCTTATATGTATAGAAATTTCCATTATTGTTTTTATTTTTATAAAACATAAATATTATTGTCAATTTATCTAATTTAGCTACATTTGATAGACTTACATTTAATCCAATTTGCCTGAAGTTTTAAAAATAAAATAATTCTTACTATTTCTCGTAATACACTCATGTAGGAAGTCGGACATTTGTGACCAATGCTTATGCATGATCAGTTTTTATGCTATTCACTGTCACGACTGCAATGCTGATCAGTGTGATAGAAAGAACTTGATAAATTAGTTGTAATGTGATGAAAAACAGCTGTATTTGCTTGAAATCAAGAGTATAGTAGTGAGAAATGTTTGCTCTAGAAAACTCAGCTATAAAAGACACTTGAAATTATTTCTAACAAAAGTGCGAGCATTCTAAAATGCACTAAAGTTAGAAAAAAAAAACTGTTCGAATAAGGTTTTTTTCTAACTTTAGTGTATTTTACGATCATAGATAACTTCGAAATTTTTCTACTCATATGGGATTATAGTCAAAACATTTCTCTACAAGATGAGACGTTCGGTGACTCTAAGAAATCTTTTATAGGTGATTTATAATAATTTTTATGGAAGCGCAAACAGCAGTTTTTAACTGGTACATACCTACTATGCGTTCCAAAATACAATGGTCTCGGATATTTTTTGAATAATTTTTCACAGAAATAAGACAGACCTGCGATTTTCAGTTTTGAAAACTAAACACTTGACCACATATTTCTGTAAGCAAAAGCGAATTTCGGAAAAACTTCAGAAGCGGATTTTTCAGAGAAACTTTAGAAAACTACTAGTACCTTGGGTTTTCCGAAATTCATATAGAAATCTATTGCTTTTTTTTCATGAGCTGATAGCCCGGAGTGTTCTCTTCAAAATGGTAGTAAAGTGAGACCTTGATTTTCTGCTGTTCGGTGGTCGTATCGGATTTCCGACAAGTCCCAGGACTGGCATTCGATGACTCTTAGTAACCTTAAAGACGGATGGACTATGGATAATCGACCATGCTGACTCTCGTGGCAATATTTGATTTTAGAAAAAGTTTTGAAAATCTACTGAAGAGCCAGTTTTACGAAAATTAGGGTTTTCAGGACTGTTTTAACCGAATATTAAAAAATTCACTAGTCACTCAAAAAATATGAGAACAAGCTCAAAATCTCAGGATATGATTAATATTGTCCATTAAACGGGATTATAAGATCGAAGACATCGAAAAGCATATTTTTGTTAATAGGTTTTCCAGAAGCTCTTTTGGAAAACCTTAGGGTTTTAAGAAATATATTTTGATATCTCCTATAAACTGGATACAGAATAGTTTAAATACTTTATATTCTGAAGTTTAGAACTAGAATTTGTTGTTTTACAGACTTTACTTTTCTTCACATTGGTCCAACTATGAATCATTAACTCCATTATTTACTTCTATTCATTGTGCATGTACGAAAACCGAATAAGTAAGTTTTTAGAATAAGCAGGCTTTCTTCAAAGAATTCATTTGATTTTCAAGACATTCAGCCATTATCAAACACAACACCACCGAGACTTATCAAAGCTTAACGCAAACAACTTAACGCAAAGCAACTTATCAAAGTTAACGCAAACAAACCAAATCCCCAGAATGACGAACATTAATAATACTTGTAGTTTTAAACAGGACATGATGATTTTTCTTTCTTTCTTTTTATGGTAAGAGAAAATAAAATGTAGACTTATATACGTGCACACACCGCAATAAGTTATTTTAACGAACATATGTTTCAATTTCCACACCTACTTTTTGTGTCATTTCTTTTTTTTATAATGTGGTGGTCTATGCTTGCCAACGTGTTTAGTAAAAGCACTAAATTCGTGACTAAGCTTGATGTGCTTTTTAGTGTGGAATATCTAAGCTGCAGCTACTGTAGAGCACAGCACTAGCGGACGTAGTACTACAATCCTTTGAAGAGATATTATCTTGTCTATAACATTCTCCTTCTGACGTTGCTGAAATAACTAAACTGGTTCAGATAAATGTCTGTTGAACTACTTTACTGCTTTTATCGATTACCGTCTTGACGTCGTAAAACGAATAAATAGCCGTACAATAAAAAACTGTATTGTTACTTGTGCTGCATCTATGCGCACCAATGAGGAATGGTATTCCACGAGGTGGTCGAACCGTGCCGTCCCCCGACTCGCACTCGCTACAGCTTGCGAGATAGCCACTCATAGCTCTACTTGACTCGACAATAATATTATAAAAACAGATCTGACTCGATCCAGCTCGTAGAGTCCCGAATCACGTGCAACTCCCGGGTATATAATGCATTTTCAAAAACATGGACGGTTCCGTTTATTATCATTAAGAGCAGAAGCTTTTACAGAAGCGAACTTTTAGCGAAATTTTAGGCATACTCGACGTGACCAGCTGACTCTGCTAGCGTAACAGAATTCGACAGATTCTTGTAGTGGTGATTATCTGTCTTGTGGTTTGGAGAAAGAGAGAGAAGCTATTTTTAGCATGAAAATTTAAAAGACGCTGGGATACCCATGGGGTTTGCTAGGTCCTGGATATGTGTGGGTGCGTAACTCATGTTGATTTGTTTTAGTGTTTCAGATGTCCGTTTCCGGAAACACGGCTTTCCATACTGTTTTACTACGACACACATATGAACCTTCGAGTCCTGCTTTCATTTTAGTTATTTTTAGGCAATAGATAATGATAATAATACATTAAAATCTGGTTACGATAATTAGAAATTAATTTTAAGAACTAAAGCTGCTGATACGTTCGATTTAAGTGTTTTTATGTATGAAATGATAAGTTGATGTCATCAATTTAATCCACAAACGGATAAGAAAAATGCACAAAAAAATACAGTAATGCTTTTTTAAATCATATAACAATTGTAATATGTTTGTATCATCATGTACTGTTGGTCATGAAAATGTAAATAAATCATAATTTGTTTATTTGTAATATGATCTTTCTATAAAATTCTTGAAATTTTGTTATATACCAATATTCAAAATAACAATAACAATTGATCCATCTTCTATTTTCTGTTTAACTTTTATTTACATGGACTATTTTTAAGGTTTTTTCTGTAATTTGGTACAACTAACTAGAGTAGTATGCTTACTTATATTATACTATAAAATCTTGATAAAATTAATTTTTAAAAATGGTATTTTAAATCTTTTTAAAAATATTTAAGAGTCTTATAAAAAATCTTTGGCTTATTAAATTATTAAAATAAAATATAAGTATTAATTATGTGAAAAATGACAAAATGATAACAAAAAGGACAAGTTTTCCAACAAGTACGAGAATAAAAAGTGGTAAAAAATCCGGGAAAAAATATTTTAAGTTTTATACTAAATGTAGTTTAAAACATCTGGAATAATCATTAGATACTTGCTCTTAAAATTGTCGAGAACGTTAACAATATTGAATTTAAGATTCAGTGTTTAGAAAATTTTCGTTGAGCCATTGTGTTACCAGTTTCGATACCTTTCTAAGGCTTCTTTCTTCTTCAAATAAATGTGCTATATTGCGCTATTCAATCCATATCCTGGCAACTAGTGACTGAAATTAGAAACTTGAATTGTGCATTTTGTCTGGCCTTCAGAGTTATTTTCAGAACATGAGTCTGTTTTAACTTTGATCCCGCGTGTCCAACTGATGGTTGTTCAGAAACTCGAACATTATTACAGAGCACCGTATCGCTTGGTACATTTTTATCATACAAATTTATTCTTTAAAGTAAGTATCGTTAAACACGTTTCTTTAAAGTGGCTCTTTAAAGATGAGAAACTAACTTTGTATTTTCCGCACAAGTTCAAAATTTTCAAATGCACAGATACCATCCAATGTGTTCTACTTGTAAAGGAAATAAATAAATGTTTTGGTTGAAATGTGGTATACGATTCTACATCCTTATCTCTATCTCAATTATTTGAATTCAGACCCAAGGGATACGTTTTGGAGGGCGCCATTTTTGTGAACAATTTACTTTTGTCAGCGAATAATATATAAAGAAAGAATTGTTTATTCACAAGAACTGTCACACACAAACACAAAGGCAAACAGACGACGAAGTTGATGACTGATCAATGCCGTTGCAACCATTCTAGCATACGAAAATATAGAACGCGAACAGCAAGAACCTTTTTTGGATTCTAATAAAATTTTATTTTCAGATTCTTTATAGTTTTTTACGGCAGTCAGAAAACGACAAAAAGTTCATAGTATTAATAAATTAGTATGGCTTAATAACTGGACATAAATCAATTTCATCCGCATGTTTGCCGTACCGAACTGGCTGATTAACATCTTGTCTTTCGCTTGATGAAATTATTTGTAATGTATCCATATCAGGATCGTTTTTAGTTTGTATATACTGATACAATTTTTTGGGTGTTATATGTCCTTTTGTTTGTAATAATTCAATGACGTGTTGAAAGAATGGTGATACTGGATAATAAAACATTGCATATTGATCTCGTTTACATGCAGCAATTACAACTGTTGAACGTGATATCTCATCGAATAATTTTAACCAAGTCTTCATATAATCTTTCAATGTTTCTTGATCACTAGCAATTTTATTTAGCTTGTCATTAATCAAATTGATAAAATTTTCATTAAGATTATTTAATCGAAAATAATCTTGAAATAGATTTTTGTAATTAACACTATGATGATCTTGTCGAATTTCAAAAGCTCCTTGAAAAAGATGAACAGGTAGTTATTACATAACTAGTAAAATTAAAAGAAACATCAACAGAACATACCTGAATGACATACGTTAAGTAAAATAATTAAATCACATGTAGTCTATTCCATTATTCCATTAAGAATATTAACGTGTAAACTTTTTTCTGGAACTAAGCAGGTATAAATGTTTTCGGCACATAATGTCTTATCATCTGCAGTTTGTAATACAAATTTATTTTTTTTTATGTATCAAGCCGTGGCCGGTGAAACAAACAACAACTACATCGTGTTCTTTTTGGGATGATATACCAGAAAGTGTTTCTTTTATATTTTTCGAACTTGCTTGACGATCTATTAATTGTACAACCTATGCAAGAAAACGATTTTATGTCAAGAGATGTAATGTCTGATGTTTTTGTCTCTAAGAATGCATACATAATGGTAATTAAGATTTCTAAAGAGATTAGATAACTGTTCAGCATCTTCACATTTTATATATTGACCATTGTTTGGTAATGTTTGTATAATAACTGCAGTGTAGCATCCTAGACGAGTATTGTTTGCTCGTGCACAGGAAATACAAATATCATAACCTGAAAAATGAAAGATTATTGTATGAGATAATAGACTACTGGCTGAGCGTTATCCGACGCTTGTTTAAGGCTCCCCCCCTCAGAAATGATGATTTTCGGTCAATAAATCGATTTTGAGATAAGCTCATGAAAAGATAGCCTGAAGTGTCTACTTTCAGAATATATATGATTTAACACAATACGAATGGTTTTTAAGGGAGGTTTCAGAGGTTTTCTAGAGATCGCCCTACGGAGAACATATTTTTTCAACCTAATGCTTGTATTTGACATAAAACATAGACATATTACATATGAATGGAAAGTACTCATCGAGCTGCATCCAATGGTGCAGGTGGCGACACCTATTAGAACATGTGGCGCTGCCTACAGCAGGTTTCAAACTTACTTTACAAGTATGTTACTTGTAGTTGACATGAAACATAGGTATATTATATTTGAAATGAAAGTACTTATCGAGATGCATCTAATAGTGCATGTGGCGACATATAGAAGTACACATGACGCCATCTAGATATATGGCGTGAATTTTAGAGCACCTTTTCAGCATTTCTTCAGGCCTACACAAACACCTACACAGCATGAATACATATTGAAAATAAACAGCAAAAATAAGGCACTGCTTTTTATTTGAAAAACCAGATCGTGTGTAAAAATTTTCGAATAGGATCGTGTTGATTTTTTCTCGTAGACTTATAGCCCGGGATGTCCTCTTGCAAATGGAAGTCAAGGGAGACCTTGATTTTCCGCGGCTCGGGCGTTGTATCAGATTTTGTACGGGTCCCAGGACTGGCACCTGATGACTGTTGGTAGCCTTGAAATCGAATGGACTATGGGTAATCAATCATGCTGAGTCTCGTAGAAATATTTATTTTTAGGAAAAGTTCTTAGAATCTGGTGAAAGGGGAGTTTTACGAAAATTGGGGTTTTAGGGCTCTTTTCACCAAATATTTAAAAATTCACTATTCAATCAAAATACATCAGAACGAGTTCAAAACTTTAGGATATGATTAATCTTGTCCGCTAAACATTATAAAAAATCGCAAAAGCATATTTTTGTTAATAGGTGTTCCAGAAATCCTTTCGGAAAGCCTTAGAGTTCTTAAAATCTCTTTCTAGATCTCCCGTGAATAGGATATAGAACAGCCGAAATACTTTACATTCTGAAGTTTTGAACTTGTTCTGATGTATTTTGAGCGAACAGTGAATTTTTAAATTTTAAGTGAAAACAGACTGAAAACCCCAATTTTCGTAAAACTCCCCTTTCGCCAGATTCTAAGAACTTTTCCTAAAAATAAATATTTCTACGAGACTCAGCATGATTGATTACCCATAGTCCATTCGATTACAAGGCTACCGACAGTCATCAGGTGCCAGTCCTGGGACCCGTACGAAATCTGATACAACGCCCGAGCCGCGGAAAATCAAGGTCTCCCTTGACTTCCATTTGCAAGAAAACATCCCCGGTTATCAGTCCATGAGAAAAAATCAACACGATCCTATTCGAAAATTTTTACACACGATCTGGTTTTTCAAAGATTTCCTAGAAAACCTGTTTTAGAAAACTCTTCAGAAAATAGTTATGCTTGTGGAAACATGCCTGCAAGTCTCTTCTTTCGCATGGAAAAAATCGAAGCTCTCTAGCTGCTTTCTATCAAAAGTTATTCAAAAAACACCAACGGTAGTTCTATTTTGGTGTTTTTCGCAAAACACGTTTTTTGTTCGAACATGCCCAGTGTGGAACCCTTTTTTTAAATATACTTCAAGCTAGAGGTCTCGGGTTGGTTTTATTTTAAACTAGACAGCTAACTGCGTGAGGTGCTGGGACTCGATTTTTGATTTAGGTATTCGTTAGTTTTCTAGAGATCGAAGATCCTCAAAAACCCGAAAAACGTTTACAGGTTTTCCAGTTTTGATTTTCTAGAAAAGGAAAGCCTAATTCAAAAATCGGGTCACGCAGTTAGGTATCTAGTTTAAAATAAAACCAACCCGAGATCTCTAGCTTGAAGTATATTTAAAAAAAGGGTTCTATACAAGAGGATGGGTTTTTGACCGTGGACTCTGGAAAACATCGGAACCGTAAGAGATAGCGAGGTAAAAAAACTTTCATAACCACACTTTGATATGGCGAACATCTGCTGAAAGTTTAATCAAAATCGGATGTAAGTCAAAAAAGATTTTTTCTGAGAGGGGGGGCCCTTAATCTTCCGAGTAAAAAAGACAAACCTCGACGATGGTACGGCGGAGAGCCTTTTGAACAATGAAATACATCAGAATTTTCATTTATCCGTTGATCACATATGTCACATAGTACATAGGGATATGTTTAGTAGCATTGTGATGCTTTAATTGGTTCCAAAATGTCACCGCAAAGACAAGTTGGTTTTAATGGCAATGATACATCTCAAAAAAAGATAAAATAAAACCTGAGACAAATGCAAGTAAACACAAAAATCGATTCAGTTTTACCTTCTGGGATTATTTTAGTATTGTAAATTTGTTCAATAATTCTGTTAACACATTCTTTAAATAAATCATCCAATTTCAATTGATTGTCACCTTGTAGTCCCGGTTGGTATTGATCAAATTCCAATTTAAATGGTTCAAGTTCAGACTGTACTTTTAAAACTAATTGTTGAGAATTGAGTAGCATTTTAACTGTTTTATATACATTGCGATTATCACTAATGTCAAAATGCGAAAGTGTAGAGATAACGGGCCCAGAAAGGGAAATCAGAAAAGTCAGGACTTGTGCAAATAAATTTCCATGTGCTTCGATTAATAAAGCTGCAAGCCGTTTAAAATCTGGCCAACCATTCAAAGCAATAATTCTAATAATTTCTATGATAATTGAATCGATTGAGCTATCCCATGTCTTAAATACCGCCAGTATACCGCTAATACCGTCCGGTTTACCGCGTTATACCGGCGGTACTTTCTAAATGAATTGTATGGTCTTCTACTCACTAGGTATCAGTAGGAATCTACACGTGAGCACGTTTTTGTTTGTTTTCTTTGTTTGTGAAGTTTCGCTTATTTGTTCTTTTTGATGTGCAGTTTTAGTACAAAAAAGGAAAGCTAACCTCTATCACATATGTACAATGGTTTCTGTTCACAGTATCATTTTTTTAAATAAATCACAAAAAAAGAAAAAGAAAATCTGTTCAAAAAACATCAAAAACGAAATAGTTTCATTTATTTGTTCTTTTTGTTGTGAAGTTTATTAAAGAAGTAAAACCGTTAAAAAGCGAAAATCGAATCTCTGTTGCATATGTACAGCAATTTCTGTTCACAATGTCAGTTTTTAACAAAAACAAACGAAAAAAATCGTTTCGAAAACATATGAAAAACGAAATAGTAAAACTGTTCATAATGCTGTAGTTGGTGATGTTATATTTGTTTCTAATGGTGTGGTTGCTCTTCCTCTTGCTGGTGTTGTTTTATTTCTTAATCGCATTATATTTCGTCGTTTTTGTAAGAAAACTTCATGGAGTTTCGGCCATTCTATGTTCAATTTTGCATCACTTAATCTGAACACTGATCTAACAGCTTCTGAAAAAACAAACCAATAGAAATTTTTAATTATGAAGGGCGGACAATTTGTTTGTGTTGGATAGTATTCGAGAGGGTATAGAAATTCCAAGTAAATGGAATGCAAGTTCTCTTTTGCATTCCATTCTTTCAGCTTATGAATTTTTAATAGTTTTGGTCCAAGTCCATAAGACGGCTGTAGCATGACTCAGCTTTAACAATAAGAAGAACTGCACTGTACAAACAATTAGTACTAGGTATGCACAGGTGTCGGTTAACCGACACCAAAAAAATTTCAAACATTTTGTTTTAGGTTTTAAAATGATATAATGAGTTAGCACATCACTTCTATGAATCTAGTAATCATTATTTCGTGTAGTATATCTCTTCTGATTAGGCTGTTTGTTGATCAAAAAGGTTCAGAAACTACCATTTATCTAATAAATGCTCTTTCTTTATAAGACGCAAATAATACCGAAATAACAATAAGTCTGAATTAACTACTTGTGGCAATCTATGTTGATATACATTGACATAGAAAGGACAAGAAGACTACGCGCGCCAATAATTTTCTCTTGGAACCATCTTCAAAGAAAAATAGTAGTCTATCTACGAAAACTTCTTCAATGTGACAATGCTCGCTTTTTTTCGGTGTTGGTTTAAACCGAACATCGCTTTTTTCGGTGTCGGTTTTTCGGTTTGAAACCGAAACCGGTGCATACCTAAGTAGTACTTGACTGAGACTAACCTTTAATAAATTGATATCCATCATTATTTGTAACATTATTAACATCGATATTAATAAATAAAATCTTCTGCTTTGTAATATATATCAATTAATTTTGTGACATAAAGATTTTTTGGATCTGGGTGAGCCAGCAATTTTAATGCATCAACTGTACGACCCTCATGTTCAAATACCTTAACAAAAACTGAGATCAGCAATAAAATCATACCTTAAAAATCAAATCAGATCTTTAAACATGTGTTAGTGTATATAAAATATACCATTGTTGTTTGAAATGCTTCATTTTTGATTGTATTTTCTGATTCTTCTGGATCTTCTAATGGAATATAAACCTTTAATAAAACAAATTGTGTAATGATCATTCACTGTTGATAATTTATAAGCTATGCATCAGAGAACCAAGATTTCGTACTTTATGTTTACTCAGTGCTTTTTGAATTTTCTTTTGATTTATAAATAATAACTTAATCAAATTTTCTATTCTTGTTTGTGCTACAATAATTTTATTATTTTGTTTTTCTATCTTTTCACTATTTTCTAATGATATGGTCAATAATGAAATGAGTTCTTTATTCGTTTGTGATGGATTCTCATGACTTTTTTCTTTATCATATAATAATTCACGTCCACAAAATCTTTTTGCTGCTGTTGTTGAGAATGATTCTTTATCGTCACTGTTTGTTGACAACTGACGTTTTAATTTTTTCTTAGCTGTATTTTTTGATGTTGTTATTGACTTTAAAGTCGATGAATGTTGTTCTCCATAATCATCATCAGCAGTGTCAGTTTCTTTTCCGCTCTCATGAGCAATAATATCGTCAATAATCTTTGCTAATTCATCGAGTTCACCTGTGACACCTAAAAAGAAAGAAAAAAAAGACATATGATAAAAAGACTTCATGCTAAGAAAGTTTAAAACAGTCGATATTAACGGATTGTCATTGCTGTTGATGACAATAATTTGTTTTTTGATTAGTGGTTTGTGATGCTAGAAAGAAAAAGAAAAAAATACGATAAACAGTCCAATACTTATCGTTTGCTTTAATATACATACGTGGAAATGGAATTTCGGTTAATTTTGATAATTTTGATGGACCTAAAAGTAAAAAGAAAATATTATGAAAATCTAAACTCAAAATGATATTGGTAAATTTGATAGGAAGAAATATACCTGAATTACGCGCTGTTGTTGAACTCTTTTTACATGTTGTTGTTGATGAAGATAGTGTTTCGTTGGATGTTTTTATAATTTAACGTCGGATTCAATATCTGTATTTAATTCTTTATCCAATGTGACAGCTACTTTTTCTACTTCTGGTAGTTTTCCTAAACGAAAGAAATATTTTCATATCAGCACTCTAAAATAAATAGATAACTCACCTTCCAACATAATAAAACCAGTATATAGTTTATTGTGTTGTTTAATCTGTATCATATTATTTTCATCAATAACTGGGCATTTTTTTTTGTTAAAATACTATAATTTTTTTCTTTCGGAAACATAAGTAACACATAAACTTCTTCTTCATTATTTCCACGACGACTTTTCAAAAACTTTTTGGCATACGGATTATTCATCTACAAATAAACAAAACATATCAGTAAAATACTACGATAAGCAATGTTTTAAAATAAACAAACATTACTAATGTGATTGCGGTGGGGGTGAGAAAGTTTACATATTCTAATTTTAATTCTGTATTTTATTGTCAATTAATGAAAAAAACCATTATTAGAAAACAAAAATAGAAACAACTAATATTAAAATATTTAATTGTACATAAAAAAAATCAATCATGTTCACGATCAGCACGAATTTCTGTAATACACAAAGCATCATTAAAAGGTACACCTATACATTTATATTTAATTTTTTCCACTTGTATGACATCAAATGTATTTGTTTGTACTTTCAATTGGAATAATTCATCCAATTTCGATAACATTTCTTGAGGTATCTTGAGAAACGATGATATCGTTTTATCCCAGTTTTCATATTTTTGAATAAATGCAAAAAAATGACTATCATATTTATAAAAGAATATACAATTTGCATAATTTCTTGAATTATCATCATCTGAGTGATACGAAATGAGGTAACTATTA